CCCCTCTCCCCCCTCCCACTCTCTCTTTGCCTCTCTCATCCACCTCTGCTACCATCTGATCATCCTGCCAGTCTGAATCTTTAGCTCACCTGATCAAATCTTACCTTATGGCTAACTGAGCTTCAGCACTCCTAACGAGGATGCAGGCCTCATGCCCTGTCCCTCTCCATCACAGTTAGCAACCATGCTAAGTCCTGCAGTCCCTCCCCATTAGTCAGTGCGGTGAGTGATAGGCGCCTCGAGCAAATCAGACACCAGAAAACGAGGTAGAGGGGGAGCATCCATTTCCCCGGGCTGTCATCCCGCAGGCTGTGCAGCAGTTGTGACAGGTGATCTACCTTAAACTGCCACTGTGGACCCCAAAGAGGTCATTAAGTCATTGGATTTGGTTAGCAGGCCATTACAGCAATATGTCTCTGTCATATTTCACTCTTTTTAGAGTTTCAGGCTTAATTTTAGAGTATCTTGCATTAAAAGATTTGCTCTTCTTTGCCTAATGTGGTGCTTTTTCCTGTGCTGGTTTGTGAAACAGTCAACCGTTTTCCTTTGGACATCACAGTCAAAGTCAAAGTCAACTTTATTGTCAATCTTTCTGTTTGTGTGTACAGACAGAGAGATCGAAATGCCTTGCAGTACACTTATTTTTTGCTGACAATGTTATCAAAGCAACTTACAATAAGTACAAACTCAAAAAAGCAAGAATCGCGTAGGTACATTAGCTTATCGTGCTACGAGGCGGGGCTTAAGTGCTTTACGCTTAAGCCCCGCCTCAGATCCGTCAGGCGTTTTTTTCTTTTTTTGGAATGACCTCTAGTCCTCTCTTCTTTCACCATGCGTGTCTCTTTCTGTCTGCGGCCCTGTCAGAAAGAGCAGGCAAGTGACAACGCTATCAAAGGCTTGGCGCTCTTCTATTGATTGCTCCTGTCTGTCCACCACCTTAAGCTATCAAAGGCTGTCACCTATCAGTCGTCGCTTCATGCTGTCTTTCCCATCATCTGTTGCATCATCGCACTGTAGACTGAAATGTCACCGCAATTTGTGGAAACTTTATATCAGATGGAGAGAGGGTGGGCAGTTTTGAAATAGCTCTCCCTGATGGAAACATTTGATCTTTCATACTTATTTAATATTACATTGCAGTGATTTATGGTGGCAAGAAAAATCCTTGATTCCTTTGTGGTGCTTTTCTACTCCTGTTTAGCCCTGTAAGATTAAAGTGTCAGGATTGGTGCGGTGAGCATGTTTCTGGCTGCAAAAACAAATCAAACACAGGCAGGCTTTCACACAGAACACAAAGCCGATGTCTAATCCAAAAATCTGAGCTTTATAATGCAGTATTTATAGGACACAACAAGCATGATATGCGCCATATAACGTTTTTTTTTGTGTTCTTCATCTCTGCAGGGTAAGGACAGGGTGTGGGCATATATCCCAGATGCTGTGTGGTATAACTATGAGACGGTAAGAATACATTCTTCTCATTCTACAATACTTTCTACTAAAGCCCATCCCTTTCCACTGCTGATGAGAAATCAGTAATGTATATAACAGCAAACATGGTAGACACTCTTCCTTGTGAAATGATTGCTTAAAGATGTTCCCTTGAGAAACTTTGCTTTAAAAAAAAAAAAATTATATTGAGTGAAATGCAGATAACAAGGATTTATTTGTGTGGTTTTTGTAAGTGCTATAATAGATTTTTCGGTACCACTTTACAATAAGACTACCCTTATAAAGGATTCATAAAGGGTTTATAATTAGGTTATGAATTTGGTTGTAAACACTTTATTAATCATTAAGAACCATTTATAAACCAGATCTAACGTAGTTTTCATACATCAACACAGGCTCACTATTTGGCAAGATGACTAAGCCTTATATTGGCTACTTAGCGAGAATCAACTCAGTGAGCAACAGATACCAAGGATGCTGGCTGATGAAGAAGACGAAGTAAGCTAGGTAGCCAATATAAGGCTTAGCAGTCCAGATACATGTGGGCTCACTATTTGGCAAGCAACCGGTCACAGTCGCTCTGTTTATCTCATGTCTTATAAAAGCTTATTAATGATTTATAAAGTGTTCACAACCTGATTAATAAATGAATGACAAACTATTCGTAAACCCTTTATAAGGGTAGTTATTGCGGCGGTAATCTTAAACAAAGTGCCGCGAGGGACTAAACAAGAGAAAAAACACTGTGGACGCGCAAAAACTCAGTCTTTCCAACACAGTATGCGTTTGACCTTTTATTTGCAAAGCAAAAATGCAATATTCCATATCCATATGCGTGCGTGCGTGCGTGCGTGCGGTCAACACAAATTGTCCTTCTCTAGCTCACCCCCCATCTATTACCAAGTGCGCAGGTAAAAGCAACCGGATATAAGCACAAACGTCACCACACAAATCCAATGACACGCCCACCACCTATAGTGACTCAAAAAACATGTATCGTAACAAACACAGAAATGGCTTCATATGTGGCTCCTACAGTAGTCTTATTGTAAAGTGGTACCGATTTTTCTTTAAAAAAATGTTTAACTAAGAAGGTACTTCTGATAAAATGCAGATATCATTGATTTTCCATTTACTTTTCTTTGTTACGATGATCATAAATAGATGATACAAATATGAAAATGAGCATAAAATGGCCGCTTAACATAGATAGCAGATTGGGTGGTTCAAATCTACATTGAAAAAAAACCATTAAAAGTATAATCATGTCTCTGTTGCTAGACATTCTAAACCTTAGGATGTTGTACATATTAACCTGATTATTTATAAATATGTAGCGCTCGACATAATGAAGCAAAATGGCTTTAATGATAATGTTACAGCAGTGGAATTAACACATACACGTAGAACATGTGTCACGTCAGAGTCTTCACCTCAAGTTCTTTGTTTGAGACAGAGACTGGAGCGATAAGACAGAGCACGAGAGGCAGGACAAAGATAGACTGAAAGAGGGGACAGGGGGGAGAGGAGGGAGACTATCTCCATGACAGAGAGATAAAAGAGGTGTTGAGCTCCTTTGGGACCTTATTTGGGCGTCACAGTGGCAAAGTAAAGCGCCCGTTGATCAGATGAGCGATTAGATTGGCTGTCTTGCCGCCGGCCCCTTGTCCTGGTTGGTCCCCTGTGATTATCTGGGTAGGAGGATGGAAGAGTTCGGGGGGAGTATTGATGTAGTGAAAATGACCGTGAAAAACACGTTACAGAGGAAAGAAAAAAGGGACGAATGAGCTAAAACACAGTCAGGATGGTAAGAGAAATAAGTTAAAGGGGCCATTTAGTATATACGTAGGTTTGTGTGTATTTAAAGGGGACCTATCATTCAAAATGCACTTTTGTACGTCTTTTCTACATGAATATGTGTCCCCGGTGTTCCAGGGAACTCACCAAGTGTCAGAAAACACAACCCTCTCTATTTCCCTCCATACCCAAATCTCTTAAAAAGGGGCTGCAACGGATCTGATACAGACTGATCCAGATTTGAACACTTCTATGACATCACAGAAGTGGCGCTACGGCTATTGGGCCAACTCCACCAATCAGGAGGAGACAGCCACGGACATTTGCCGTTGGAAAGCGCTGGAGAAGCTGTAGTACATATGCCAGGCCTGTAGATGGTGCTGTTCTCACAGAATCAGCCCATGATGCAAAGACAGTGTTAAATTGAGAGAAATGAGGAATGGCTAAAATGCATGATCTGTTTGGTATTTTGAAAAATAAAAAGTATAAATATGCCTTATATAGGTATGGTCCTACACTATATTATTCAAATATAGCATGATAAGTCCACTTTAAATGGTCTGCAAAGGTTGGGAAAGCTGCAGTGGGAAGATGGGATGATTGGCCATCAGGAATAAGAAATAAGAGGAGAAGACAAGGCAAGAGAAGACCTCCTTAAAGCAGACAATGAGGGGGTGATAAGATCTGAAATTGCTTGTGGACGCTCCACTAGCTCCAGCCCACACGCTCGCCCATACTCTACTGTACTGCTTAAAGTGGCACACACATTCTCCAACGCACAATCCTCTGTGGGAATGGAGGAAAGATGGGATAGAAAAAAGAAAAAGAATTAGAGCACCACAAGAGAGAATAACACGACGTGGAGAAAGAAGTAGGTGGAGAATGAGAGGAGAGTTTTAAATTGTTTAAGGCCCGACTGAGGATTCAGTCCCCGAGGGGATCAGAAATTAACTTCGCTCTATCTGGGCCCTCAAAGAAACGAGAGAGGGACGGGAAGGGAAAGAGAAATGTGTCTCCTCGTCACAAATAGATGCTTCTTAGAAGAATCTAAAGTATAATAATTATGTTGTTATAATGCAAAAAGTTACACATTTTAAAGTCACTCAGTCATCGCATTATATTAACTTTTCTTGCACACATTTTTTTTAAATGTTGATTGATACTCTTGTCCAAAGTGTTTCTAACAGCGATAAGATAAATACATAGGAGTAATAACAGTGTACTATGGGTATACTATTGGTGTAAAATGTTAGTTATATGGTTAAGAATTTGTGTATGGGTCCAACAAAGGTTTAATATTGGTGAGGTTTGGGTTTAATATGGTGTAACATCGGTAAAACATAGCTGTAGTATGGACATGGGTGTAATATGGGTTCAAAAGTATATCAAATGTATACCCTAAAAAAAATATCACACTTTGTAAAACTAAAATCATGAAATGAACATTGCAATTTTAGCCCATATACGTACATTGGAAAATAGCTATGTGCTTGCCCATTTAAGGGATAACGGAAGTGAATCAAATGTTACTTTTGAAGCAGGTTTTAACATTAAAACTCTTTATAATCTACTAATCGAAAATATAGCAGAGGAAGTATATCATTTTCGGTTTAAAGTAGCCGATAAAGTGATGTCGGAGTAATCAAAAATCTGCCTAGCTTCAAACCACCGGGGGAAATTAGAAAAGAAGGTTATAAACAGGTCCTTCAAAGCATTTTTTAAATTATTTTGTTTTGTAAGCTTACACCATACAACTTATGAAGCCACTGACGCAATCAGGTCCAAGTACCTAAAGTATTTCTAAGAGTGGAATTTATAGCTGCAAAGGCCAACAGTCATCATCAATCTCTTTTTGTTTCCTTTGTGGTTGCAACTCAAGAGTTAGCATTGTGAGTTCAATGTGTTGTGTTTGATTGAAAATCAAATCTGGACCCAAATATTTCTCAGCAGGGTTCCATATCCAGACAAATCCTGCACTAAACAAAAAGGTATTGATGCACAAATTATTACTTTTGCTACAAGGTTACGGAAAATAAAAAACAAATAGCCAATCGTTTTGAGCAGTGCTAACCACAGGATGCCGTGATGCTGCAGATAGCAAAATGCTAGCAGAGGAAGGAAAGGAGAATGCTATCGGATAGCCTAAGGGCACAAATGGGATCTTATTTTGGTGGATGAAACTAGACTTATAACGGGTCCGTTTTCACCAAATAAATATACAAAAAATATCCCTAAAATGGGCAATTTTGCCCATACGGAAACACAAATAGGAATTTAGGTGTGTTAATAGAATGTGTTGTACCAATCAGATGGAACGACTGACAGACCGCAGAAATCACGTTGATATGTACCTACCAGCTGACAAGCTTGGTTTACACATCAGAGGGGGGGCAATCCTCCCAACACAGAGACCTGATGTCACCACCACATACAGGTACACACACACACACACACACACACACACACACACACACACACACACACACACACACACACACACACACACACACACACATACACACACATTTATCACCTTAAATGTTGTGTACATATTTTAATTTTTTTTGGGGAGTATTACGGGAAATAAGATAATAACCTCTACACATTAACACCACTTAGTGATTTTTTAAGCCAAATGCTTGTGCCAGAAGTAAAAAGCTAACGCTATAAACATGCTCACGGTCACATGGCTTCCTGTCACCACCGCTTAGCTAAAGGCGGCTAACTTAACTAATGCTTGACAACACTGTATCTATCTTTCTATCTATCTTTAGCGTGATGACGTTTAGAAGTCTTTTAAAGTCACTTGATAGCAACCGCCATTTTTAACACATACAGAAGCCTCTGATATTTTTAAGCTAAAGTTCAAGCGACAGAAGGCATAAGAAAACGTTAGGCTATAAACAAACATCATCACGTTCACATGGCTGCGCATCACCATTGCTAAGCTAAAGGCGGCTAACGTTTGGCGTAATGATGTTTAGTAGTTGATTTAGTCACCGCTGTTTTTAAGACACATAGAAGCTTCGGACAGTCACCAGTGGGAATGTACTGATGATTTTTCTGTCTTAACCCTTAGATGCACAAGTGGGTCTTTTTTGACCCGGTGAGGTAGTTTTCTTAGATTTTCTTTGTAATTAAATTTTTTTATCATTTCATATTCCAGCAAAAAACATATTTTGGATATCATGCAAAAATGACCCGCATGCATTTTCTATGGAATATTTTTTTTTTTTTCAAAATCAAAGCTCTCAAGTCTCACGCATTTGGCGTGAGACACACGCATTTCACTCCAATCACACGCTCACACACCACACCTTGTATTTTTCACACAGAGATTTTAGCACCCCCCCCGTTGACATTCGCGATACAGAGGGCTTCATACTCCACTAGCACCCCCCCCCGTTGCCCTTCGCGGTACAGAGGGCTTGATGGGAACTTTGAGGGGAGCCAGAAGTCGGAGTACCAAACACCGCTGCCAAAATCTCACTCTGAACTCTGTTCAAAACTTGAGAGCCCTGCAAAATGTAAAAAAAGTTATAAAAAAATGTAATATAAAATATTTGTAGTGTAAACCAAAATATAATACTAAATATTATACAAGTGATTTTTCTTAACAAAAATGGCATAAAAACACATATTCTAATACGGGTCTATTTTGACCCACTTATGGAAGAGTATAGGGTCCAGTCACTCGTGCATCTAAGGGTTAAAACAAAAGCTTGTGTAACCAAATAACTTATTTTCACATTGAATCATCAATAAACAGAGACTTCAAAAAGGGGGAAAATGCTGACTAATTTACGGGTTTAAGCACCCATCACTGCAACCACTTTCTTACATGTGATTTATGTTAATATTATCATGCTCACACTCACAGAAGCACATACACAGATCAATCACCACATTCCCATTCATAATAATCATAATGCACGTTATATTTGAATAATGGGCACAGATGTTTAGATTTATTGAGTTGTAATGACATGCGGGGATGGTGTTTTTACTTAACCTTGTGTTTATGCGTACGTCTCAAGTCGGCGTCATCCCATGGGATTGATTGTCGCTCTCGATGACAACAACCAGGCGGCTGGGGAGCTATTCTGGGACGATGGAGACTCCAGAGGTATTTGTGTGCAAATGTGCTGGTGTGTTTATGTGAGAAAGGATCAACCACATCTTGTTATTACCACTCATTACAGGCACTTTTTTTTTTTATGCGCATCGAATTGAAGCTCTTATCTTGTTAAGTACAAAGCATCACATGAGTCAATGTGAATGTTCAAACACAGTCAGCTCACACACATTAACTGAAGTGAAGGTCAGTTTGTGAACAGCTTTGACACACATTAACATCTGTTTCTCGTTTTCTTCTTTTTACAGACACAGTTAAAACAGGCAACCACCTCCACTACGAGTTCTCCGTTATGGCTGTAAGTTTCCCTCGCATAGATTAAGCAAGACAACGGATATGTATTTGGTTAAGCCAGACAACAGGCTTTGGGATAAGATAGGGGCTTTCCTGGACTCAAACCATCTCGGCTGCCAACAATAAATATAATAATATGTATTAAGCAATACATATAAATAAAGAGAAATGAGCTATGAAGAAACAGAAAAATAACGGTAATAATAATGAAAGAAGTGAAATTAAATGGGAAATGGATGAATAGGTGAATTAATCATAAAAGGAAGAGATGTGTGCATATATATGTATTTATTTATTTGACTATTTATGTATTTATTTACCAATTAAACAATGAAGTATACCTATATTATGAAGCAAGTCATGTATAAATACAACGCCATATGTATACATCAAATGTAACTGACACTGTAATCCCCCTACCCCCCACCATTCATTTTATGTCCTGTCCTACTTGTGATGTGTGTGAGCCATGTCCTTGCCCGTGTGTTTTTGTCTTTTGAAATTTTTAATAAAATATAAAATGTTAAAAAAGTAAGACAACGTTGTCTTACTTTTTTAACATTTTATATTTTATTAAAAATTTCAAAAGACAAAAACACACGGGCAAGGACATGGCTCACACACATCACAAGTAGGACAGGACNCACAGTTAGAGTCCGTACTACAAAAAGAGACCAAGAACAACATCAACCAAGCACCGAGAAGAAAATAGTCAGAGAAGTCGGAAGTCGACATACGAACAAAAACGACGCGATCGAACACATACTGCATTATAAAAGAATACCGGATCGCACGAACACGAACATCGTCACGGAACAGATGTCGTAAACGAGGGACCCCCTCAAGACCGGCATTGACAGTCATATCTGTGAACATTGAAGGGTTCTCCTCTGCAAAATAAACCATCTTAGCCGATCTATGCAGCAAGCAACACTGTGACGTCCTCTGCTTGCAAGAGACGCACAGAGGGAGTGGAAAACAATCGCGTACCCACCGTACGGCAGTGAACTGATCGGCTGGCATTGAGCGACCTCACCGGGCCAGAACGGCAGTGCTAGATATTTGTAAAACAGGCTCAGCTATAAGAAGATAGATATGTCAGATGGCCATAATATTGCAAGTCCTACCTGTTGAGGCTAAGGTTGAGGTCTAAGCAGTGTTTAGTAACACTGTCTACAAACCACCTACCTGTGAACTGTTGTATTCTTTCCCAGGGCCAATCCCCAAAATACACGGCAGAACCACAGATCGTTATTGTGACTTCAACAGCCACAGTATCCACGTGGGGCAACCCTCTGAAATGAACAGATGGATGAAGCAGCTCAGAGACTGGTGGAATAGACTAACAACCTGAAGTCTGATCCATGACGCCCAAGCTACCACACTCGTGTTTTCACGTGCTCCGCTGGAAACGTGGCCTACAACGCCAGATCTCACCATGGTCACAAGTA